ACAACTGCCTCTTGATTCATGTACAAGTTCTGCATAAGCACAATGAAGTGTCCTGGAATTCCCATTTTTCTCAAGGTTATCCATGGTTTGTTATGATCCACACAGTCAAATGCTTTGGCATAGTCAATAAAACACAAGTATACATCTTTATGATATTCTCTGCTTTGAGCCAAGATCCATCAGACATTAGCAATGATATCACTTATTCCACGACCCCTTCTGAATCCAGACAGTCTGGCGGCTCCCTGTCAATGTACTGCTGCAACCCTTGCTGGATGATCTTCAGCAAAATTTCACTTTCATCAGAATAATGCTTAAAATAATTCAATGGAGTCCTAAAAAGCAAACAGAAAAAAAAACAGCCTTGAATTAATGTTATTTATGTGACTTAAGGTACAAAACAATTTACACTCTTTTAACAAAATAATAGAAACCCACTGATTTCAAGGACTGATCAGGCACCTTGAGAATTGGGCACTCAACTAGGATTCGGCAACACCATCTCCTAAGAAACTGGGTTTGAAGGAAACCAGGTAACTGACCCAAACCCAACAGGAACTCACACAACCTGGTGGGCTGGTGGAGCACTTGTCCCTCAGCCCAGGCCAGGAGCCTAGTTCCAAACCACCATAGCCAATCATGGAGGGGGTCCCATCAAGTCAGTTCCAGTATGCGAAGACCCTGTGTACAACAGAATGAAACACTCTCTGGTCCCGGGCCATCTTCTTAATTGTTATGCTGGAGCCCATTCTTGCAACCACGGTGTCCATCCATCTCCTCCAGAGTCTTCCTCTTTGATGCTGACACACTACTAGGCATGATGTCCTTGAACTATAGTCCCTCCTAAAAACGTAGCCAAAGTATGTAAGACGAAGTCTTGTTACCTTCATGCCTTCCTCCAAGACAGATTTGTTCATTCTTGTGGCAGTCCATGCAGCTTTGAGGGCTCCAACACCATGATTCTAATGCATCAATTCTTCTGTGGCATGCCCTGCTTTCACTACATGTAAGGCAACTGGAAATACCATGACTTGGATCAATCGCACCTTAGTCCTCTGAAGTGATATTTTTGATTTTTAACACTTTAAAGAGGTCTTCTGCCATGGATTTGCCTAATGTAAATGTGTCATTTAATTGCTTGTCTGTACCTGACAGGAGTGTTGATGTGGGATCCAAATAAAATGAAATCCTGGACAACTCCAATCTTTGCTCCTTTGATCATGGTGTTACCTGTTGATCCCGTGGTAAGATCTCTGTTTACGTTGAGTTGTAATTCATATGGGAGGTTGTAGCCCTTGGTCTCCATCAGTAAGTGCTTCCGATCCTCTTTGCTTTCAGCAAACAAGGTGGAGTCATCTGCATATTGCAGGTTGTTAATGAGCCTACCTCTAATCCTGAGGCCAAGTTCTTTTTCTTATAGTCTGGTGCCTCTGATTATTTGGTCAGCCTACCAAGTGAATTAGCATGGGGAAAGGATAAAATCTGTACCCCATACTCTTCCTGATTTTGCAGCATACTATTATTTTGGTAGAACAACCACCTGTTTGTCTGTGTACGTGAACATAATGAAGTGTGCTGGCATTTTCATTCTTCTCAATGTTATCCATATTGTGTTGTGACCCACACAGTTGAACGCCTTTGCATAGTCAATATAACACAAGCAAACATCTTTCTGGCACTCTCTGCTTTTGGTCAAGAGCCGCCTGATGTTGGAAATGACACATCTTGTGTCATGTCCTCTTCTGAATCTGACTTGAATTTCTGGTAGTTCCCTATCAATGTACTGCTGCAACTGTTTCTGAATTATCTTCAGCAAAAATTTAACTGCATGTGATACTAAGGCTATTGTTCAATAATTTTGCATTCTGTTGGGTTACCTTTTTGAGGATGGGCACAAATATTGTGGTACTTACGTAATTTCTTTTTCTCTCATTCTCTTTTACTTACATAATTTCATATCAACTTGAAGATATATAAAGTATAGGGGTGGAGTTTAGCCTGTTAACCTCCTTGTGGCATGGCCTTCTCATAAAGAGGGCCCTGGGAACCTCCCCTCTCTCTCTGCCTTCACCTTCCTGTTGGGGTGCCACTGAGACCTACCTGCCAGAGCCCTGTGATGAACTTCGCCATTGGATCCAGAAGACTAGCACCCACTGGCTTGTGATCTTCCTGCACTCTGCGTCGTTGTATGAGGCTTCAGGAGTCTGAAGAGGGACTTACGGACTAATATTGGACATATGGACTTGAGTTGGACTGGGCTGGGATGTTTTCCTGACATAAAATTACCTCTTGATATAAAGTTCTTTCTTACACACGTATGAGTGTCACTGGATTTGTTCTGTAGGCAACCCTGCCTGGATCTCTTGTAGTTAGTTGGCCAGGTATCTCTCTTTCAAAATTTTCTGCATAAAGTGAGTCCTTCGAGTGCTGCATGTTTGCTGGAACTTTTGGTTGGTGTTCTCTAGTTCTGGAGCTGCGTTTTTCCCTAATGCCTTCAGTGCAGCTTGGGCTTCTTACTTCAACACAGCGGTTCTTCATCGTATATGCTACCTGTTGAAATGGTTGACTGCGGACCAATGATTTCTGATACAGCGACTCTGTGCATTCCTTCCTTCTCTGTTGCTTCCTGCATCGTGCAGTATTTTCCATAGAATCCTAAATTCAACTTGAGGCGTGCAATTTTGCCTTTGTTCTTCCAGCTGGAAACCTGCTCAGTGTGTTTCTTTGTTGGCTGTCTAAGTCTAGGTCTTTGCACATTCACTAGGATGCTTTGCTTTGCCTTTTCCAGTTGCCCTTTGAAATCTCCTGTTCAGCTCTTTTACTTCATCATGGTTCCCTTTAGTTTTAGCTACACTTGTATTCAAAAGTAAGTCCAGAATCTCTTCAAGCATCCTCTTGGGTCTTTTATTTCTTGTGTTTTTAGCCACTTTCTGCTCTCTACACGTATGATGTCCCTGTGTTAGTCCGGTGGACTAGAAAAACATCCAGAGACACTCATGTGTGTATGAGGGAAAGCTTTATATCAAAGCATAATTGTACATTAAGAAAACATCCCAGATCAAGGTCATAAGTCCGATATTAGCCCATATGTCCAATACCAATCTATAAATTCCTCAGGCCAGTGGGTGGAAAGTCTTGTGGATCCAGTGGAAGTGGAAGCATCTCAGCACCAGCATGGGTCTCCATGTGGCTCCTCTAGTTCCAGGACTTTGGCTGCCATCAGTGTAGCTCCATGTGGCTTGTCAACAGGAAAGTCTCGCAGGGAGAGTGTCTGGCCTCCAGTGAGCTATTTATCTCCTTAGTGCCTCCAAATGAGGTTATCAAGCTATGACCTGACTGACAGGCTAAACTCCACCTCTTCACTCTTAATAGTCTCAAATTGACACCAGATTATGTAGCTACCACATCCCTGATGTCATTCCACGACTCATCAGATATTCTGTCCAGGTGGTTTCTAAATTTAAGTGGGATGTTCTCAAGGTCATATATCAGCTCTTATAGATGTGTTATAACTTTCTCCAGCTTCAACTTAAACTTAACACATGAGCAATTGATGGTCTGCTCCACAGCCAGCCCCAAGCCTTGTTTGGGCTGCTGATGCTGAACTTCTCCATTGTCTGTTCCCACGGATGTAAGTCAGTTTGTTTCTTGTGTCCTCCATCTGATGAGGTCCATGTGTATAGTCATTGTTTATGTTCATGTGATGAAAAGGAATAATGCTTATGTTTTGAGAAAAAAGGTACCTATATACTCCTGTATAAACTGAATTTTCAGCTCATTTTTAATGTGTTTTTTTGTGGTAAAATTAGGTGCCTTGGCTGACACTCGGGTCGGCTTATACCCAAGTACATATGGTATTTGCAATGAAGAAGTTGTTGGTCCTGCAAAATTGTATTATAAATGTCCAATATAGTTTCTATCACCAAGATCATATTTTCCAATTACTGGTCCCTTCTCTGTTTCCAGTTCCAGTCACCAGTAATTATCATTGTATCTTAATTGCATGTTTGATCAGTTTCAGGCTGAAGGTGTTAGAGTTCTTCAAGTCTCTGATGTGTAAATTTGAGTGATGCTTGTATTAACTGGAGAACTTCCTGCATAGTGCCCTACACAGACATCACTGCACTTGAAGACAGAGCTTGAAATGTTCTTTTTGTTAATGAACATATGCCATTCCTCTTGAAGGTCATTGCCAACATCCGAAACCCATGATGTCTGATTTCAAGTGGCCAATCCCAGTTCATTTCAGTTCATTAATGACTAGGATAGCCATCTTTATAAATTCCTTTTCAATTTCTGATGACTTCCAATTTTCCTAGATTGATACCTTAAACATTCCAAGTTCCAATTTTAATAGATGTCTGCAGCTGTTTCCTGTCATTTTGTGATGAGTGGCTATGGTGATTAGACTACCTTACCATAAGCTTCTAAAAGGATTAACATTAAAAAAGTACTGCATACCACTTAGGGCATCATCCTAACATCAAATCCTTCTCTTCCCACTTCTCTGCCCTTCCCACCTCCCTTCAGGGTAAGTGTGATACGACAATTATGTGAGCAAGAACACAATTTGGGGTGGACCCGGAGGAGGAAGGGTTCCCCAGTCAGCGCAGAGCCAGTAGTGTGGGTTTCGATTCGCAGGGAGACGGGGTGGGGGGCGAGAGCAGAGAGGGGCCCAGTCTCATGTCAAGGGAACTAACCCAATAGATTCAAAGGGAAGGAGCGGCCCGCGGCCAGCCTTCCCGAAACAGAGGCGGGTGGCCTCGGGAAGTGTCCGGGGCTCGCTGGAATGAGTGGTCACCTCCCCTGGTTCAGACCATCGGGAGTCTTCTCGGCTCCGCGGGGCCAGGACGCAGCCATCAGCTCCCTAGAACACGGCGCCTCCGCCCCGCGGGCACCGCGCTGCGGCCGCGGGGCTGGCCAGGGCCCACGTCACCGGGTGGCAGCGAGTGTGGGGTGGCTTGAGGTCGCCACGCGGGCGGGTGTCCGGCCCACCTGACCCTCCACCCCGGACACTCCCATCCCTAGGACGGCAGCCCTGTTTCCAATCGCCCCCTCCCCCACCAGCTCGCCTGCAGAGGCAGGCGCGGCCCAGAGAGCCCACCCCGCCCCCTCGTCCACCCGGCCCGCCGGCCGCTTCTCGCCCCCGCAGGCCACCTCGCCAATCCGCGCGCCGGGCCTGCCGGTTGCCATGACGCCCGATGCAGTCGGCAGGACCCCTGCCAGCCCCCGGCCGGAAGGAGCGCGCGGGGCGGGGGCCGGGGGCAGCTGGCCCCCACAGCGGACACGCACGCTCGGTCAGCGCGCCAGGGCTCGCCTGGGACCGAGCAGCGACGAGCACACCTGGCGCCCCAGCGTCAGCCGGCCCCCGGGGCTGGGAGACCGCGCGCGCGGCCAGCGCGCACACCTGGGCCGGCCGGGGCGCACCTGCCGGGGACGCACGGGCGGAGGGGACGGGGAGACAGTTACAGCCCACGGGTCAGCCCAGCGCCACACAGGGGCCAGGGCGAGAGGGCACCTTCGCGGCCCTTCGTTAGGTCCGGGCATGGGTGTCCCGGTTCCTGCTTCCCAAGGCTGAAGCGCTTCTGCAAGTCTTTCTGTAAGCAACGTTTAGGAGGGAAACGGAAGTTTCGAGGAATACAGTCTCAGATAGTACACGCAGTGGCGGAACGGGGACCGCAAGAGTTCACAACCGAAAATGGCCACGGCCACTTCGGGGGAGCTTGAAAGACCACGTGAGAAATGGCCGGAAAGGGGCGGTCGAAGAACTGAAAGAGTGTGAGCGAACTGGAAACAGTCCACCGCTGGCCCGTCTCCGGTTTTCATCCCCTCCGACCCCCACCTGAGCGGGCTGGGGCGTGCTTGTGGGTACAGGCTGTTCTTAGTGGCTGAGTCAGGCGCATGCCTGGTGACCTTCTCTGTCCCTGCCCAGCATTGGGTCTTCCTCACAGGTTCTACTGTGATCCTGATTTATTTCAAACCCCTTTATTGTGGCATGCCCAGCTAATTTTCATTTAGCGTAGGCATTCTCTGCAGACAACCCCCCTTATCCCTAATCTTCCTGCCTGTCAACTCCTGCCTCATAACCATCCCTGTTGACGGAAAAGTTGCAAAGGTACCCCAAATGCCCTATACCCACTTAAATTCAAACTCAAACCCAAACCCAGGCGTGGAGCTCTGCCGACTCAGAAGGAGCCCCAACAGCCTTTCCCGTCTGCCATCTTTACAGCAGTAGGCAGCCAGCCTCATCTCGGTCTCCGGCAGCGGCTGGTGGGTTTGCACACCAGTCTAGCCCACAGCACCCACCCAGACACTGTAACAGTGGGAAACTGAGGAATGGGAAGGGAGTGTAATGCAGACAAATTCTGTATCCTCATATTCTAAGAAGCCTGGGAGCCCAGGGTTCTGGGTGAAGAGGCCTTCACATTTGTGAGTTAGAGATGAATCCCAATCACATTCTCCTAACTAAGAGGAGTCCCCACTATGTCCTCCCATAACTGTGCTGCCGTAGGGTCACCCCTCAAGCGCATGGCTGATAGCTATCTGGCCGATAGCTTTATCTATAGGAGCAGACCTGTTGCTATTGCTTTCCCTGCTCAGGGGACAGTCACTCCACTTATCTGTCCCCAGCACTAGTGTTAGGTTACTTCCCCAATGAACACAGGGACCTCCAGGGGCAAGGTACTGCCCATTTTGTTACATGCATGGTTACCTGTAACTAGGGGGCTTGCGCGCCTGAGACTATATAAGTTGATGTGGAAATACATTTTCTCTCACTCCTGGACCGTGTTTCTTAATTTCTTCCCTTCAATCACCAACCGCCCCTTAGGACCCATCTGCATGTGGGGCTGGATCCCACCCTTGACACAAAAACAAACAATTTCAAACTCCGTGCTGTGAGCCAATTCTGACTTGCAGTGACCTTAATGGACAGAGTGAGTTTCCAAGAATGTAACTGTTAGGTAGCCAGCTTAGGGACAGGGGGTTGTCCCTCCCATGCCTGCACAGACCCCCATAGAGGAGGTGGGAAAGAAATCAGGCAACCATTGAACACCGATGAAGACTCCAAACTGAGCATGCTCATACTCAAGCCACGAGCCAGGTGGGAGGTGCATCTGGTGCCCAAAATAGGCCCAGGCCCATGACATCACACAGGCGGGCCTAACTCAGCCAATAGGGTCAACCAATACCATCAACCCTGCCTCCCCAGCCAAAAGTTTGAAATACCCTGGCTGTGGGAAGGCCTCACTGTCTTACCCTGCTCCTGGTCAGTGGCAGGTGGGGGGTGGGGGGGTGGGAGGCTGAGGGTGCACATGCGCCCTCTCTGGCCTTACTTGGGGCCCACATGGGCTTAGCCTTAGCCACTAGGTTTCTCGGGCTTCTGGCCTCCCAGGATCCCCACCAGTTCCAGCCGTGTGGATGCTCTTTTCCGTGAGGTTGCTTGTGCCCTGTTCTGAACCCCTTTGAGACTGTAAAACCTGAAACTTGCCCTTCATAAAAACCCACTTGGTTACGAAACAGGCTTCGGCATGAGTTCTTTCAGCGTTGAAGCTAAAAACTGCGTTATTTCTCCCTCCAGAAACCTTACAAGGCCTAGATGACACTTGCTGTTAGGTGCCCGGGTTGGGTCGGTTCTGGCTTATAGCACCCCCACCGCTTACAACACAGGACATTGACCCTGTCCTGGGCCAGCCTCACACTCCTAGTTGGGTTTAAGTCCATTGCCACAGCTAACCATGTCCCTCCTTCTCCTGGAGGGTCTCCCTCTCCTCACTGAGCAGGGCTTAGATGAGAGGGGTTTTGTTCAGGAAGAGGCTACACAGACCATGAATGCGCAGGTCTCTCAGTAGGGGGCCAAAGGGTGTTGGGAGGGGTGTGTGTGTTCCAGGCATTGGACAGTAGGTGAGAGAAGCCAGGAGTGTGGCCTGGTGTCCCCCGGAGGGTCCTGGCCTGCGGGCTGAAGTGAAGGGCTGAAGTCCAAGCGGGGGCAGGGAGGGAGCTGGAGCCCAGCTCATCAACAAGCACTTTGTCCTGAGCAGGGGGCAGGGACGCAGGATGCGTTGCTCAGCTCCTCCTGAGCTCAGACCTCAGGGGACTCAGGAGTCTGTGGGTGGCCTTGTCCTCTGTCCTCAGGGCCACCATGGCTCTGCTGTGTCACAGGGGAGGGGCGTTGGGGCAGAAAGCCATTTTCTGGAGCGGGGGTGGGGCTCTTTCCCAAGGGCATGAGGATCTATCCCACATGGTCCCTGCTTCTCTTTGTTGTCCTGTGTCTCTGAGTTGACCCGGCTCACAGTGCCCCTGTGGGACGAGCAGAGCTGTCCCCTCGCGTCTCCAAGGCTGTGTGGGAGCAGAGTGCTGGGGCTTCTCTTCTGTTGAGTGACCCGACCGGCCTTTCAGTGACCCTCTGAGCGTTTAACAACTGCACCACCAGGGCTCCTTCGGGCTCTTTGGCAGTGCCAGTCTCTCCTTGTCTCACAGGACATTGGCATTGTGTGGTGTGAAGGGTAAGAGCCTGCCCGGCACTGTCCTGGGAGGACAGACAGTTGCCAGATTCTGGTTCTGGCGGGAGCAGCTCCTGAGGGCAGGTCTCGGTGGCGTTGTCACCTTGTCCCACTAAGGATGGTGTCAAGGTTTGTCATTATCCAGCCCTTTGTCACTGAGTGTCCTGTGGGGAGAGTTACACACTGTCCCTAAATCCTTCTGCTCCAATCTCCGCCCGCCATTTTGGAATCCGTAGATGGGATGCGATGGCCAGAGAGGCTGAGCAGGGTGGCGGTGGCTCCTCTTCCTCCTCTGTCTCTTGGGAATAGCTTTCCATAGGGTGGGCTTCCCTGCTCCTCAGGTATGCTTTCAAGCAGGGTCCCTGTTAGGCCGGGTGGACTAGAGAAACAAATCCAAGGAGACTCATACATGTATAAAAAAGAGCTTTATATGCTAGAGCAATTGTATATTGAGAAAACATCGCAGCCCAGTCCAGATCAAGGTCATAAGTCCAATATTAGCCCATATGTCTTATACCAATCTATAAATTCCTCTTCAGACTCACACAACACATGCAATGACATCGAATAGAGGAGATCACAGGCATTGGGTGGAAAGTTTTGTGGATCCAGTGGCGGTAGAAGCATCTCAGCGCTGGCGCGGGTCTCCATGTGGCTCCTGCAGCTCCAGGGCCCTGGCTCCATCAGTGTAGATCCATCTGGCTTGTCATCAGGAATGTCAAGCAGAGAGAGTATGTGTCCCACCTCTAGGGAGGAAGACAGCAGTTCCCAAAATCCTCAGGAGAAGGCCATGCCTGCACAGAGGCCTCATGGGCTATGATCTGATTGACAGGCTAGACTCCACCCCTTCCTCAAGTTGACAGGAGATGATGTCACAGCCACAGGGGTCTACTGTAAACTTGAAGGCCTGTCCTGTAGCCTGTGGTTACAACAGACTGAAGTGAGTACTGTGGTCATTCAACCTCTCATTATTTTATTCTTCTTGGGGCTCAAACGATCCCAGCTTTGACCAGTGGGAGCCCATTCAAGCCAGCTGTGTATCCCTCACATGTCCCCTCCCTCCTCGGGCCTTCCTGGCTGTCTGCTAGAGTCACAAGCTTGGGCGCCATCGGGAGCTGCCCTGGCCTGCAGCTCACCATTTCCCCCGGAGCCCCGGGTCCTCTCCACAGACAACATTATTCAGAACCCCAGATCTGGGTGCCAGGTGAGTCAGTAGAACCACTGGGGGTGTCTTCATCTGGACACCCTAACATTAGCTTGACAGGCCCTCCCTCCCAAGGGACACATTCCAGCCCACAGCCAGGCTGTCTACACACTCACTCAGAACTCACTGCCATTGAGTCAGTGCCGACTCACAGGGACCCTCGACCCTCGAGGGCAGGGCAGGGCTGCCCCTGTGCGTTTCTGCGACTGTAGCTGTTGACGGGAGCAGAGAGCCTCCTCTTTCTCCCATGGAGCCCCTGGGGTTTCAAACTGCTGGCCTTGTGCTCCTTTGAGAGCACCTGGGGCTCCGGGGGAAACGGTGAGCTGCAGGCCAGGGCAGATCAGATGGTGCCCAAGCTGGTGACCCTGCCAGACAGTCAGGAAGGGACACGTGAGAGGGACACACAAGCTTGTGGCTGCAGACGCGCGTTCTCTGTCATTCCAGGGTTAGTCAAACTGAGCTGCTACCCAATCAGAGAAGCCTTTCTG